AGCATTCTCTTTTTACCCGCGAGAACAGACCAGAGTGCTGTTCCTATCGCCTTTAAAAGTAATTGATATAATTACACACTGAAAGCGACATGTAGAGAACAAAAAATTTATATTCGTGTACTTACAGTTTCTCTGAAACTGGCGGATATCCATCTATTCTGAATTATAGCTCTAATGGGCGGTGGTGGTTTTTCCACTTCCTCAAACGCGTCCAAAAGTATAAAATCAACAAGAACATCGTAGAAGTTCATGCACTTGACACCGCGAGCGGTCAGTTCCTCCTCCATAATACTATGATTGCGCGGTTCATGCAAGAACAGCAACATACGTTCGTAATGCTGCAAATAATCTTTCGGGTCCTATAACAGAAATTTGTTCCCTCTTCATCATATTGACTCTTTCATTCTCCCTTTATTCGGGCAAATTTAATGCTCTCTTACCCTATCCGCATATATAATTAAATCGCTAATCATCTGGCGACCTATGTCCGCTATAAATTCCATTACATCAGGTGTGTTGAATAATTTTGAATAGGCTTGGCGTAGGCAGTACACTTTTGCTAAATATTCTACGTCCGATCCGCATTTTACAAGTTCCGTGTGTAGTCTCCTGCAACAATACAAATTACGTATCACATCGGTACGAGGATGTATAACATTACATTGACAAACGCCGGCGATTTACCTGCAAGGAATACCTCTATCCTCGTACTGTTTAAGAGCGGCGTGATACAGCTTTTGTCGCTCGAAGTGCGGAAACAGCTCTGAGAATTCCTCGAATTCACGCAAATCTGCAACCTGAAAGAATTTCAATGTTTTAGGCAACTTTTAGTTTAATCTCCTTTTAGTTTAAGAATACTAAGAACACAAGGAAATCTTTGAAACTAACTTATTGGTGATTGAAACAGTTTGAAACAATATTATTACACATCTTCGAACTGTATTGCTGTCTCGCAGTTAATCGATACGTCCGTCTAATCTCTACGCGCTACAAATAAATGATATTTATCTGACCTGATATTTATCGTCTGCATAACTCACCCCATCACGTGCAGATTCGAACGACTCGGGCGACGACGCGACATCGGCTTTGTCCCTCATGCCAGATATCCGCGTCCCGATGTTCGATGGTTTATCAAGACTTTCCTCGCTCTCATTCCGGAACAGAACAGAGTGCTGCAAAAAAGAAGAGGGATAAATAAACAGCGGGCGGGCGATTGTCGGCGGGGAAAATGAATTATAGCTGTCTCGCGCGATAATATATATCCGATCCGCATTACGATCCGAAAACTCTGATTGCGCCGAGAAAGTCGTGTACTTCCTATGACGACGTCCGTGACAGTTCGGTCCGGCTGCTTAGCGTCAGGTCAAGTGACTCGTTGCGCTAATTACCCTCGGGACGGTTGTCATTTAAATTGGATTAATTCCCGTATTTTTTAGCCGGCAGAAAGGCAATTGATGATGAATGCAGGCGGAATGGAATGGCATCGAGTGACTTGCTGTTTCCCGCGAAGGACAGGCGGCGTAAATCGCCAGAACGCGGCGACTCTCCGAGTCATCAAACGCGGTTTCCTGCTGCTTTCCGCGGCGTCCGAAACGAGGGTGCATCGTACCTGATCGAGAAAGAGCAGCTCCGCGTGACTCTGAATCTGATATCCCATGTCGAGCAGCTCCTGCACGTCGTGTGTGAACGCCGCATCGGCTTTCGTCGGCAATGCTAGGGTATCATTGCTGAGGGTTGAGCTGAATGCAGTGAGCGCGTCTTCCCAGCAATAGAGAGCCTTTTCCAGCGCCTCGAGTCCTATTAATGTGAACGACATCAGTTTATTTCAATTAAGAGAAGATCAGTGCTCGCGCAAGTTATATCAGATCAAATATAACGTAAAGATCATAGCATTCTTATTAAGCGCAAGAAGTAATTCAAAAGCTTTAAGAGTGTAAGCAAAAATCAAGTTAAGTTCAGCAAAAGATACGCGCATGATGAATTGTTAATGTTATTACTGTTATTGATTAGCGAAGCATTAGAAAGAGTTTATTCTTGGCATCAATCTACTTATGTAAAGCATAATTATGTTATTCTTAGTGCAAAAATCAAATACTATTATTGTATTATTTCAATACGTCTTCTCGCCGCAGGAATTTGAATCCAATTTTTAGCAAAGAGAGTATACATCTTTATTCTCAATATTTTTGCAGAAAATTAGCGGGTCCAAATGAGACTAGTCTCGATACAGTCGACTGGTATACAAATGACGGTAAAGAGCGAGGAAAGAAAACGCGCGATTAAAAAGAGCAAGGGTAACGCGTCCACTTAAGGACGCAGGATCCGAATTCCGAGTCGGTGACGCCACACTCTCTTTATTCAATCTTTTGTAAGTCGTCGTAAAGAACCAATTTACCGCAACGGAAGTCCGACACCGTGTTAAATTCAGGGGGGCATCTCCGCTGAGTAATGTGCCGAAGGCTGGTCCATCATCATTTTCAATCTGTGTCATTTACCGTCGCCGGTCGACAATTATACAATATCGTTCGGTGAAATCAGAGCACCGCGAAGGAGTCGAAATCATGTTATGTGACATAATTGATCTTCTCTTGCAGTTACTTTAATTAAGTAGATGTCGATATATGGCGAAATAATTTTTAGAAAACACTTGGCAAATTTCTGCAAACGTCATGCTTTAGACTCCTTTCAGTTTTATTTTGGAGTAAAATACGATAAATTGTACCAATTTTGCTGCAGGTAATCTTTTCATCTCCTTGAATTATTTGGGAAAGAATTAAGCTTGTTCAATACATCAGAATTTTGCAGTAATTTCACAAAATCGATTCCAGATTCAAATTTGTTTCGCTTCTATATCAGAAATATCAGGACCTGTACGAACATCCAAAAATTACATAATGCTAGAAACGAGAACAAGTTATGTAATATTTAGTTCAATGAAATATCAAATACTTTAACTTATTCACGTATTTGCAGCTAAAATTCTCATCGAGAGAAGCAATGGTTTCAATTGCCCGGCGATACGGCCCGATCTTCAGAAACAGATGAAATATCGATTGCTCGACGCCGGTGATTCCTTGCCCGCAACAATGCTAATTTCGTCGGCGACTTCAATTTCGCACGAGAAAGATATGTCCTTCCTATTCGCGAGAGATGCAATAACGGAACATGCCTCGATTGTTTGCGCGCTCGCACGCTGGGTGAAATAAAGACCGCATTCCTAAAATTGAGCGAAAACCGAGAAGACCAAAACACGGCAATGCGTCACATTGTTCCCAAATTCTTGTTTAACGCTCTCCAAGTGTCCTTCCGGACAATTTGTCTCGTCATATGTCTTGTCATATGGTATACATATGGTATACATTCGTTTTATAAAGCTAGAATGAAAAATTAAACGTCACAATCGTTTCATAAAATCAAAATTAAAGACAAATATATTTTTGCAATAAACGCTCTTATAAAAGACGCAATGTAAAATTTATGAAATTAAGAATCTTTCTCTTACCCTTTATCCCTAAAAATAGTACATTTTTGCTTCTACATATCTCCAATAGATTTATCATCATTCCAGGTCAGGCTATAAAACTCGGAAGGATAATTTATTTCTGGGACGTGTATATATAAGGTTAGGGATGCGGTGCGGCGCAAAAGAAGCGGCACAACCAAACAGCTCGGAAGTGCGAGGCTCCGTCGGAACACCGGGTTAAGTCCTCCTGAGGGTTAAATCTACCGCGATCCATCGGTCGCACACCGCACCGATGCGATCATTACACAACCCCCAGAATGAAGGGTCGCAAGACAACGGAGGGATGGTCCCCTGGAGAAACGCGGCAGTGCGACGCCGTTGCACACGTCCGGCGTCAATAATACCCCGCGAGTGACGTAATCGCCGGGTCGGTCGGTCATTGGAGGATCCAATGGTGAGGGGTCGATACGACGGCGGTGCACGGGGACGCGCGCGCGCGTCGCTTTGAAGCTCACGCGTTTCGCACTGAACGCGATTATCTTCACGTAACTGTCCATCTGTATCCGAACTGCACATCGTATTATTTTGGTGAGTTTAAAATAGCTATTCTTAGCATTGACAGTATCGATGCTGAAGTTTTTTGCAAGCCCGAGACGCGTATTCATTCGGGAAAAACACGCGTTGCGGTGAGACGCGCGGCAACTGCGCAGGGTTGACTCTAGAGAAATCCCGAGGGGATAATCGTCGGAATTAAACATCACTGGCTACATGCGGCACCCTGACTTTCATCTCGTATCGAAATTAAACCTAGTAGATTAACTTCAAGTTAAACAAGTTAATTCGAAGATCAGGCTACGCAACATTAAGCGCTGAATACAATCGCTGGATGAATGCAGATGGAAATATTACTGCAATTATATCGTTATAATTATTATATCTTTCTTATATATTTCTCTGAATCTTTCATAACACATACTTTTCATAAAATTAATTTCTTTTTTCCAGATTTGAATTAGACTGTGATGGAGTCTTCTTATAATCCGTCAATGCGCACGCGGTCGAATGGAAAGGGAAGGAATAAGAGTGCGAAAAGGACGAGTTGCACGTCCAATAAAAGCGCGACAAGAACGAACGATGCACAAGAGGGGGAGAACGCTTGCCGCGCTGGCGTCAGTTACTCGGTTACGTTGAGCTTGTCACTCGCTTGCCGTCGACCGCGCAGCGTGTTTGTACCAGTGTTCCCACCTGTTTACGGCCGTTGACACGCGAATTTCTTCGGATCGAAAATAACAGAGGATCGTCCCGTACTCGTACGATGATCATTGTTGTCGTGAGATCATAATCCGCGACAGGTAAAGAGAGAGATATCCAGTGTCCCGACTAGCCGGCGATTTTATTCACACGCATTATTTGGATTAGAGTATCGACGGGCACATCGACGACAGACTCACGGTGAGTATAAAGAATTTAACAATTTTCCGAGGATTTTCTCGGAAATGCACCACGATATGTTCCATTTCTTTTTATTGAAAAAGAACCCGCGATCAGCGTCTCTCGTTTAGTGCGAATAATTCGATACAACGCAATTTCGTTTACAATGAGCAGCGCCATTTGAAGATCCCAGCAGTGTTCGATATGCGATGTGTAATTCTTTTTTGGAAGGATTCTTACCCACCCTTCTTCCTTTTCCCCCCCTCCCGTATCCTGTGAAGTCCTTTCCGCGTCAGCTAGTTCACTTCCGCCTCGAATCGTTCTTTGCTAAACGCTGCGACGTTACCTTCACTTCGACGAGAAAATCGTCTTAAATACTTTTTGAAAAGATGCGTAATTTTTGAAAATCTTTCCTATCCGCCGCGACCATTTTTTTTTGCGTCACTATCGCCGAAATAGAATCCATTGTGACCCTAAAAAAAAGTGTCCCGTTCTGTCCCTAAAAAAAGAATATACACAAAAAAAATATACACAAAAAAAAATATACACATTGTTCTCCCTCAGGTAAGAAACGCATCTATCGTGAGAAAGATGGAGAGTTCACGAACAATAATTCCTTAGCCTCGAGGAACATCTGGGCGTACCTTATTTATTACGCAACGCTTGCAACAGTGCAACAAACCAAAAATAAACAAGAAACACAAAGAGATGAGATCCGACGTTGAATTGCGTAAAATATAGCTTCGAATTTTGCATTCAAAATACATTCCGCGCGATTTATTACGAGTTATTAAGCGGCGAAACATCGGCAATTAATTGCAGTGCAAATTATGCGGGCTTTATTCGCGCGATTTAGGCTGGCGTTTTCGCTCTATGGGGGTCAAGTTCAGGGGTCAATAGCTCGTCGGTGGTGGTTCCTGGCGGTGGTACCCTCGGATAAAAGTGAATGCCGCCGCGGCACGTAAGTGCAGCAGCAGCGGCAACGGCGATAGCCGGCAGATCGATGGAGGTGTGCCTGGTGAACTTGGAAATTCCCCTAGCACACGCGCACTTCCTCGTCGCTCTCTCTCTTGCTCTTGTTCACGCCGCTCACGGGGATAACGCACGCTCGAGTAAACTCATATACGACGTACAACACGGCCGATTAAGAAACAGGTTATCTTCGACTCGCGAAGCCTATCGTTCGTGCGCGCGGCGCGGGATGGATGATTCATGCCGCCTCAGGACATACAGGGTGTCCTGGAAAAGGAACGTTCCTCCCTCGAGAGATACTTGGTTCCGATAAGATAAGCGAGCCCGTGAGCTCCAAGCCCTTTGGCGAGAGCCAGAGCTGAAATCTGATTTCAGCTAAGGCGAACCGTGGAAAACTGCATTTATTTTTGTTAATTATTTACTCGGCGCGTTCACGCGCGGTATCTCTGAATTTCAATCCTATCCGGAGAATGAAATCGGACCTTCGCGTCAAGTGTTTGGAAAACACCAATAATTTCTGTCAACTTCTCTACAGCATTTCCGCGCGATAACACTTCCGCGGCTGAGTTTTCCATCCTTTCGAGGTCGCGAGAGTGAAATCAGATTTCGTTCAGCGTAATTGGAAAGTCCTGATTATTTTTATCAATTTTTCCCCGGCGCCTCGTACGAGCGGCAATTTTATCAATTGACTTCAATCTCCCGCCGGAATAATATCTAAGGATTATCGGTTCCTTTTTTCTCTTCGGTACGCTTTGCGTTGCACGAAAGGGGGTCGCTTTTCGTCGCGTGACCAAAGGTCGGGATATACAGTTATGGATTAATACACACGGGGCTTCCGTGATAAGAATTGGCGATTAAGAAATTCCTAATATTATTGTATTAAAGCCAATTTATCGTGCAATAGTGACGCACGCATAGAATGTGCTGTATAATTTTAGTATAACGGATGCTGAGTAATGTTCGCCAAGGCGAAGCGAGAAGCAGCACTTCAATACACGTAACAACGCGTAACGTCCTGAAGTCGCGTTGAGACAAAAAAGAGAAGACTGATCGGTCGTTGGTCCTCGCTGTCGTTTAAGCAAAAAAAAAACAAAAAAACCAACCGGAATTTATTTGGCGCAATAGACTCGCGCGAGATAATAGCAGAGCGGATAATCACGACACTTGACTGTAATTTTGTCTCTTACGTGCCGGTAGCTTGATTGACACTTAATATATGAATTACAAGATTCTACTACGAGAACGTTGCAACGAGAATGTTGCGTAATGCGGCTATCAATCATTTTTAATAATAGACTATTTTTTGTGAAACTACTATTTCATTTTTTTTTATCAATCTTTTTTTTGCTTTTATTAAGATGCTGTCGTTTCCGTTTTAGTATGCATAGAAGTTTATGAATTTATAAATGATTTTGCGCCTTTAAAGAGTTACTGTGCAAATAAGCGCGATAAATCATGCTCTGCTTTTTTTCGAGACAACACCGTACGACTCCAAGAGTGATCTTGCGCTCGTTAAAGTGACAGATGCATTACACGGTACATTTACGCAAGCGTGCTTTTACAATTAATCGTAGGTAGCTGCAGGGTGTAACCCGATTTTCAAGATGAATACACGAGAGTTCACGTGTTGCAGGCTCCGCGAGCGCGTACAAAATGTGATTTGCGACGTGACGAAGTGACCTGATTTCTCCGTTTGATTTTCACTAAATAGCTTCATGAATCCCGAGTCAAACCAAATAATGTCATTACGTTACATCGTGTTAAACACCGAGCACTTTATTATATTACATTAAATACCGGGCACCATTAAAGTCCGAGTGTGAATTAATATCAATAATAGCCACGGATCCATCGAGAGCGCAATATTAAATTTCCCACAATCATAATACAATAATCACTTCACAACCGCATCCGTGGTTAGGGTGCAACGATAGTTTATGCAACGATAGGTGCTGATAAAATCTTTTCCCACGCGCGGAATTAATTCCGCGACTTTAAGTTCGAATTTTTCCTTGAAGCTTCTTGGAATTTCCCCGATATTAATCCTACGATAATCGAGCCATTATCGAGTCATTATTTCTCGCGCTGTTTATACGTTCAAATTATCACGCGCTTACGCGTCGATTAGCTGTGCACTTGAAAACGTTCGTATCTTCGTCATTTGCTTCGCGACGCTCCGAAAATACACCGCGGAAGTAATTTTCTAATGATACCCACACATACACACACACACACACACTAACAGGTGCTCTCTCTCTCTCTCTCGGCTCATTGTCTATGATATCGCGCGCGAAACTTTCTCGCCCAACGACGCGTCGATGGATGCAAATTGCCGGCGTAATGAGATACGCGATCGCGTTGGATATTAAGTAATAGTGCCCGCCCCCCGGTCGGAGGATGCTTCTCTCGACCCTGATGAGCCTAATAAAAATGACATCATTACACGTCCCGGCCGCGCGGCGCAACGAGCCTTTAACCCACACCACACGTTCTGATTTTCATAATCTGGTTCACATCGTCGCACGCTGCTGCGTGCATCTCCTCTCCTCGCGTCGGATTGTGTCCTCCCGCTTCACCGAGTCGGCGAAGTACGAAGGACATTAGAATTTTTTTCATATTTTTCCCTTTTATCAACACCGAGGAGAATCTAGAGTGTCTCCGGAGGATATTAATATATTCCCAGCATCCTTGGAACGACAGAATCCGCAGGCTCGCATTCAACTCTAATTGTAAGCATAGTTCTGATTCTAAATTGCGTCTGATAAAAATAAACATCGCGTTCGATAGGTTCCAGAGATGAAAAACCAATCAATCCGCGCTTCACCCATTATTATTTTTAGGATATTTCGTCTTTCCGTTTTACTGCTTTATAACAATTATTATTTTAATCGACTATTTCGCAGGAATCTCCTCGTTATTTCTTCATATAACGGCATTATATAAGCGCAAAAGGCTCGAATTATTTTTCGTTTTATAAATTTATGTCTCATATTTCCTCATATAATGTTGTTTGTGCTGCTGTATTAAGTACTTGCGTACTTCGCGTGTGCTAGAAGGAACGTATTGCAGAACATAATAAATAGTTCAATTTATTCGTAATAGAGATCGTGGAATTGGAGAGGATAAAATCGCATAACGTAGTAAGCCTTTCTCCCTTCCTTGCCGAGACTTCGTCGTAAAGTAGACCGATGGAGGTCACACTGTACTACGAGAGCCACGTCATCGGCCAAGAGAAGCTCCTCTCGAGACTCGATAAAGAAACTCAACACAATTGTTTTTTTCTCCTGGGCAACCTCGTTTTTCTCTTTTCGTGTTTACTTCGAGGCGAATAACGGTCGCGGAAAAAAGTAATAACGAATTTTTTTTACGGACTCTGGTCGTGCAATTGCTGCCGTTCTTTTCGACCGGAAGATCGTTACAAATCGAATAAACTCGAAATCAATCGGTTTCTTATGCATAATCCTTCGCGCGAATGCCGAACGTGTATCGGTGTACCGATTAATTAAATTCTCGTCGAGGAGAAACTCCGCCCGTCGAAAAATATACTTTCGCTAAGAAAAATTTTGGCCGGGCTGATCCTCATCTCGCCGAATCGTCGAGCGTGATATTTATTGATTGAATAAAATCCAGAGGCAGCGAACCGCGTTATTTGATCGCGTCGAATTTTTGCGAGACGTTCCGCGAATAAACGAACAGATAAGAAAAATAATGCGAAGGCGAGCGGTGTCCCGCGACAATGGAGCGATATCGGTGCGAAACATCGCCGGCGCGATCGCCGCGCGAGGTTTGTCGGGCGCGGAGAATCGCAATTGGGAGTTTCGGATGCGGCGCGGTGCACCGCCGCCGCCGGCGGGTAATCGAGCGACGGAAATTACTTTAACAATGGCGATGTAGACGACGGTCTCCGGTTGCATAGGTGCCCTTGACAGTGACAGATTGCTACGTCGCAGCTGGGATGCAGACGATTTTACGCCCTCGTCTTCGCTCGGAGGAGGAGGAGGAGGAGCCGGCGACGACGGGTGTCTTTCGCGTGTCAACACACCTGACGT